AGTACTCGCCAATTTTGTAACACTTTTGGGTAAGGTGAGTGTTTCCAGGCTATAACAATTAACAAAACAGCCATATGGTATTTTAACTACATTACTTGGTAACTTGACACTTGTAAGGAAGATCCAATTTACAAACATACTCGATAGTAATTTGTCACAGTTACTCATTCTTATACACTCGTGGTAATATACACACATATCTTCAGTTTCTATGTATTTTAAGTATCTAAGGTGGCTATCGATTGAAGTGTCAATAGTACGTGTTACATTCATTTTACTCATTTCAAGCTCAACAACTCTCTCGTCTTGCCAACATAATTTAGAATCCCAAATGTACCCAAAATTTTTTATATCATCTTGCGTCAATTTAATGTTATTAAATAGATACCCAAGTGCTTTCAGCCGTAAATGACACTCGTAGCTCACCACAAAAATGTTATTGTCTACTCCATTTGTATCAATTTTGGTCAAATTCTTGTTATTACGAAACAAGTATTTGTCTGCTTTTTCAAGTGTCGAAGGCAATGAAAGTTCCTTTAAATCGGCAAGTTCTGAAACATAATTTCGTATATGAGTCACTCCATTTGGTATCATTAATTTGGTCAGTGTTTTGTCTTCTGTTAACTTTTGCACAATAATATCGTCACTTGCTGTGATGCTTTTAAAATCAAACGAAGTGCCGTTTTCAAATATTATATTTGTTAATAAACTACACCCACTAACAAATCCATTTCCTATTTTGGTGACACTACGTGGTATTACAAGTTCTTCGAGATATATTGAAGAATTGAACGCGTTCTTACCTATTTCGACTACAGTACTTGGCACCACAAAATTTCCATTACATCCATACCAAATGTTGTGATTTCTAATTTTAGTGATGGTAGTTGGAAACACAAAATTGTGAGTCAGATCAAACGAAAAATTGTTGTACATATTAATGCAACAATTCTCTGAGATTTCAACTGGGTTCTCTGAACAATTAGAAATGTATTCCATATCAAAGTCCACAAGAGATGATGGAAAATACACCGTTTTAAGATAGTCTTTGTATTCAAAAACGTTGTCCACTGATTTTTTCCGCATCGCGTAAATCAAACACTTTACATTGTTCTAAATTGTACAACACAACTTCATTGCACTTGGAATTGGTCTTCACTTCGTGCAATTTCTCGTCTGCAAGTTTTTCTTCGTCATTGTTGTATACTGGAGGGCTTTCATCATCAACATCAGTAACAACATCAAGTGCAGTATACCCAAATTTATTCATAATTTCCTCTTCCTCTTTACTGATTGCGAATGTCAATTTACCATTAAAATTTGGAAGTGTCAATGAACTTAACTGAGTGCAATTAGTAAAAATTTTAATGCCACAAAATTTGGTGTTATCTGGGAAATTCAATTCTTTTAAATTGGAACAATTATAAAATGCACGTGGATTGATACACAGAAGCTTATTTGGAATTACAAATTTGCTTAAAGAAGTGCACTTTTCAAAAGCGGATGTGTTGATAATTTGAAGTGATGATGGGACATTGATATCCTCAAGTTTTTCACATTGACGAAACGCGTAACTTCCAATGACCTTTACTATGGTGTCCATTTTCACACTTTTCAATAACAAACAATGGTCGCACACATGATCTGCTATGATTGATTGACCAACAAATTCAATGTGATTTAGATTGGAAAATTCAAATGCATAAAACGAAACACAAATATTTGGTGCAACAACAATGGACTCCATCCCACAGTCCGGACCAAAACAGTCACTTCCAAATGCAGTGATGGATGATGGTATTTTAACTTCTTTTAAAGACACACATTTTTTAAAAGTTTGTTCGGGGATGTGTTGAAGTGAAGATGGAAGTTCAACACGTGTTAAATTGGTGCATCCATCGAACACGCTATCGCCAAGAAACGTCACAGAATTTGGTATTTCAATTTCTCGGATACGTGCTAATGTAAAAGCCTTATTTAAAATAACTCGAATGTTATTTGGGATGGTTATCACTTCTTCCTCACAATTTTTAAAACAGTTGTTGTCAATACAACACACATTTTGGGGAATTGTGTTGCCATACTTTTTTCTGTCTTCTTTTGTGTATTTTACAAAAGGACAAATATTAAAGCGTTTCTTTTCTTCTAAAAATTTGTCATAAGAAACTAGATAAGAGTATTGAAGTCGCTCAATATTCGTGTTTGTAAGTTTTATATCGAACGGAGAAAACATATTTTGTGTTTGAATATTAGGAAATAAATTCATATTTTGCGGTGTTATTTGTATTGGGTTGATTCTAATTCTTTCAAGCATATACTGATACTTTTTACATACACAAACAATATTAATAAAGTCGGTGGGATTCATTAAGTATTTTGTGACAATTTGCATGGAAAACACATCAAGTCTGTTCATTACAATTACCAAGTTAAATATCAGTTTTGATTATAAATCAATTGGTATGAGTTCGAGTAATTTTTAATTTTTTGAAGTTTAACATTTTTACACCGAATAATTTAATTGAAAATAATAATAATAGAATACTATTAACGATTATCAATTTGAATATTTTAAAAAACAATTTATCACTTCGATTTAGTCTCCAAACTATTACTTCAAGTTGTTTTATTTTGTGAGTGAACTTGAAAAACTTGGGTGTGCATGTTTTTATAATTGTATTAAAGATAATATATTGCAATTTCCCCAATATTACAATTAAAATCAAAGTCTTTTGC